TCCCATCACCTTGCTCCTCCTTATGACTCCTTGACAAGGACCCGGGCTTTCTGTGCTGAGTAACCCGGCCAAAGGTCACCCCACTCACATCAAGCAACGGGCCCCCTCCTGTACCTACACCGCCCAAGAATGGACTATGGTGCAAGAGGTGTCTACCCAAGAGTTCATTCTCAATTCCGGGCCAAGGAAAAGGAAGAACTACAGGGGTCTAACAATAAGGCCAAACACTGGGATCCGTAGTGTAGGCATGCCGCGCGGGCTTCAAGAACAATTATCCTCCACATAACAAAATCCCATCCTCCACATATGAACCCCATGCATAGTCACAATATAAATCAAAATATCACAATCTTCAAAGTAAGATGATATAATTTCAAACAAAGTATAACACATTTTCATTTCATTTAATAACATAATATTAGTATATTAAATTCAGTACTACACGAAAACACAATTTCCAATAAAACACAACTCAAACATAATTAGATCAACATACTTCCCACTTCACCAAAATTTGTCATATAATAAAATATATATTTTATTCACAGGCATACTTTTACAAATTAACTAAGAAAATAAAAACATAATAAACACCTTACAATCCAAAGCGTGTATATAAAATAAATTAACCCCGGTTACCTCTACTCCAAGCTTAACCTCACAGCTTGAGAAATAAGAGCGCAAATTACAAACTCCGAAGTACAAGATAATCTACAAATAATATAGATACAATTTAATATACATACAAATAATTAACTTAAATTACATAGAATTTATTATTAATAATATCTATACTTATATTTACTATCCAAAAATTCTTACTTCAAATAACAATTTTTCTCTACCCAAATAACTCATTTAAATTATAAATATTTATAAAATATTGTTTTTATCTAATATTGTAAGAATCTCAATTTATAACTTAAGTTTCCAGTTTCAAAATTTTTCTAATAATATAGTCTTAACCTATTTTACATTTTAAACCGATTAAAATATCAATAATATATTAAGTAACCCAAATAAGTTATTTAACTTAAATTTAATCGGTAAAAACATTCTATATATCTTGAATAATACATTTTTCAACTAAAATCTTAGTTTAAAATTCTCAAAACAATCAATAAACAACTATAAACCGATTAAAATTTCAATAATATATCAAACAACCCAAATAAATTATTTAACTTAATTTTAATCGGTATAAATATGATATATATCATAAGTGACAGATTTTTCAACAAAATAAATTTGATTTTAAATACCATAGGTAATAAATGACAAATCTAAACCGATTAAAATTTCTTAATAATAAATCTTTAAATTCCTACGGTCAAATATTTCGAAACTCAATACTTACTCTATACCCAAATCACAAAATTTTCTCTAAACATTATAATGATACTACTAATATAAAGCTCTAAATATATAGGAAATATTCATAAGGAAAAATTTAATAGAAAGAAGTGTTTAATGTACCTATATGATCCCCAAATGCTAGCACGTCCTTGCAGAAATCTTCACTCACTCTCTTGTTCTTTGTTTTTCTTCCTGCGTCTCTCACCCTCTCTTTCTCTATTCTACGTAACACTCCCTCCTCTATTTATCATTCTCATTTCAACCGTCCACTCCAAGTTTTTCTGCCTTCATTTATTATCCTTCGCCATTTTTTCCTCCTCCCTCTTTAATTACCCGATCGAAATTCTTCTTCGCCTTCAATTCACCCTACTATTCCACCGACTTTGGTGGAAAAGTTGGGGTGTATTGTTTTTTTTTTAAATTAATAAAATATTATTATTTAATAATAATAAAATATTATATAATATTTTTTTTTGTTTTTTTTTTGTTTTGGAATGTTACAAAAGACATATGATTTGTGAGATACATCGCCATAGTTTCTTGAAAATACTGCTGGAGCAATGTATCCTACAGTACCCCTTGCTTCCAAAATGGATACAATCTAATCTTTTATTGGCAGTACTTTAGCAAGTCCAAAATCTAAAATTTTTGGGCAAAACTCCTTATCGAGTAGGATGTTGTGAGGTTTTATGTCAAGATGCAAGATTTTGCACTACAAAAAAACAAGAGATTAGTGACATAATTTAGTGACGGAATTTTATCACATTACTAATCTATCATTAATCTCTCACAAATTTGTTAGTAAAATTAGTAACGGAATTTAGTGACGGAAAATTTTCGTCGCTAAATTAGTGACGGAATTCTATTCCATCACTAAATTAGCAACAAATTAGTGACAGAGTTCTATTCCGTCACTAAATTCTATCACAAATCTGTCGTTGATTCTATTTTAAATGATTAGTGACTGAAATTAGTGACAGAAAAATTTTGTCACTAACTTCTATAACAAAACATTTTGTGAGGGAAAGAGAAGAGTTAGTGACGTGGTAGCCATTGATGACATGGTGGCTCACAATGATGAACATATGGCGATGATGTGGACAAGGGATGACATGGCGGCATGGGAGAGAGAGGAGAATATGAGGTGGCAGCCAGTGATAAGGTGGCAGTCACAGACGTGACACATGACGACAATTAATGGTTGCCATGTGGTATTTTAAATTTATAAAATAAAAAAAATCTAGTAATGGATTGGTGACGGAAATTTTGGTCACAAATTTGTGACAGAATTTATCATCACAAATCTGTCACTATTTTGTGACAGAATTTTCGTGGGATATCCGTCACTAGTCTATCAGTAATCTGTCTCTAATTAACAACAGAATTTTGAATTCCGTCACTAATTATTTTGTGATGGTGGAATTAGTGACCGAATAAATTCCGTTGCTAATTTCGTCACTAATCCGTCGCTAATTTTGATTAGTGGTGAAAATTCAATCACTAAATTCTATCGCTAATTTGATGCATTTTTGTAGTGTTGGTCTTGTTACAGCCTCTATGTAAGTACTTTAATCCTCTAGCAACACCAACTGTGATTTTATATAGAGTTTGACAGCCTAATTGGTGTTCAGCCATGTTGCAATTAAACTTCTCATATATGAATTCCTGAGAGATCCATTAGACATAAACTCATAAACTAGAGCTCTTTTGGAACTTGGAAACAAAAGCCTCAAAGGCCAACAATATTAACATGAGATGTCCTGCTGATACTTGCAACTTCATTAATGAATTCCTCATTGGTACATTTCAACTGACTCAGCACTTTCACCGCAACAAGACGCCCATCTGGTAGCTTCCCTTTTTATACAGTTCCATATCCTCCTTTGCCTAATTTGGTTTTGAAACAGTGTGATTTTCTTTATCTTAGAGTAACTGTACTGTCTACAAGAGATTGGTCCATGTTGCTCCAGAGAGGCTTCAGTTATTTGAGGGGTTGCATGTCTCTTCCTCCAAAAGAGATTGGATGAAGCAAGAGCAAGAAGTTTTCTTCTAAAGCAAAAGGCGAGGAACAATAGCACAGCAAGTCCCGCAGAAGAAGCCACTACAATAATTAAAAAGAGAAAATTTAATTTTACCTGTTGTCCCAATGCGCACGGTTTTTCCAGTTTTCTCTGTGAGGAACGAACAAATTAAATAGAATAAGTTAAACCAGAACCAATAAGTAGAAAGCATACTTTGTGTGCTATTTCCTGCTTGACAAAAGAACGGTCTTAAGTTGGTGAAGAAAAAAAAAATACCATCTCCATTTCTTAATGTAAGAGTAAATTTGACATAATTTGGTTCTTAATATAGTATTTCAATCCACACTGTCTCTCATATTTACTTATTTTTTCTAAAGTAACAGTTGCACACATTAAAGGTTTCATTAAATGGTAGTTCTAGCTAATACACAGGATTAGCGACGGTATTTTAAGAAAGATAACACATATTTATCACAAATAATTAATTTAACTAATTTTCTTAATTTACTCAAATTAATGACTTAGCTTTTGTATTAATGACTGGAGGTAATGACTTCTTTGGTTTATTGTTTCTTTTTTTTTTTTCTTTTTCTGGTTACGGATATCATTTAAGGTATTATCGGGTACTAAATGTGGATGCCTCTTAAAATGCTAAGAAAATATAAATTATTTCAACTTTCAAGTAGCTATTATTATGAGTTTTAGAAATTCAAACCCGGAATACATATACGCTAAAGATGGGAAAAAAGAAGTCTTGAGCTGGAAAATAACAGCGCACTATCAAGGGACCCCTAAGGTTTTCTAAGTAATATCTATGTTCTTGGCCACAATGTTTGTGAGCAGTTGTTTTCAAAAATTGAAATGCAAAAAAACTGTTTCAAGCTGAGTTACAAGAATCATGCAGTCCCACGTACCTCTGTCACAATAGAAGTTTCTACAGCTGTCAAGTCGACATTGGCCGCCTATGTGGTTGTAACACTTATCACAAGCATCAGATAATTGCACTTCAATAACCATTTGACCAGTTAAGAATGATAAAGGATCTTTGGTATGATTTTGGTGTTTATTTGGAAGCAGAACAATAGAGCAAGCTGAGAAGGATCTTTGGTAATGATCAAGAGGCTGCTTGGTCAAGTGGTAATGATAGAAATTATAGTTATGGCAGGTATGATTATAAACACTGGCAGGAGGGCTAATGTTGAGTCTGTGACCACATCTAAACAAGGTCATGCTATGTTTGATATGAAAAGAAACCAAAGGAGAGGCATGAGGAAGAATGATATTCTTGTTGAAAATTTCACAAAGTCTTGGATTTCAACCACTTTTGCAGATCTATATCAGTAACAGTAATAGAATTATCCTGCAGAATGATGCTTGTAAGCTTGAATGGCCTTCCATTCTTCTCCAGTTGAATCGTCTTGTTCGAAGATGGATCATCACAATCGTGTCTCATCATTAAGCCACAATCCTGTCTATCTGGCTTTGTGAAAGGGAAGCGGATCTTCCCAAGTTCTCCACAATCAAATGATTGAGGACACTTGTCATGGTTTCCATTTCCATGTCCAGCCAGAAATAGAAGCACCAGTTCAGAATACAAGAGGAAGCGAGACGTGTAAATTGGAATCATCCCAATTTGGTTTGCTTTTTCTTCACATTATAGCACTTTCTTGGACTGGTCCACCTGCAACAAGAAGCACGATAATAGAGGAAATTAAAGAGAATATAAGAATACAGGATATACTGATACATAAAGTAGAAATGTTACTAAAAGATGCGTGCAAAGAAACAATAAAGTGCTTTTGCTTATATAGCTGAGTTTAAGATTGTTTTGTTGACTTGGAAAAGGATTTCAAATACTAAGGAAACATGCAGGAAGGAGCCAGATGGTGGAATTCTAACTCCATCGTTAGATCCACAGTCAACAGTGACTTGTAAAAAACTTTCGAGGATGAAGCTGAAGAATTTTAAGCTTGGAGTCAATGTCTGTTTGTGCCGTTTACAGAAATTAAGAATACTTTCATATTTATTTATCACTTTTAATTTTGAATGAAGTTTATCTTCTGATGAATCAAATATGTAGTTGAGAATCCTCCAACTTTTATACGAAGTTAATGTTGAGTTATACCTAGTCCATCCCAATATAAATGGGGATATTATGTGAATAACAAAATATGTGAGTCCAGAAAAGAAGTATTACCTATATGATTTATATGATTTAATATTCAAATCCTAATAACTACATATATGTTCGAGGGAGTCAGTTTTGGAGTCTTGAAAAACTTCTCTCTCAGAAGGCCACTTCTCTCTTCCAACTGGTGTTATTTATTGTATAACAATGTAGTGTTTGTCTTATGATTGTGCATTGCGTGGGCATATTGGATTATATTCCTCCATATTGGAATTATTCAATCCCTGTCTCTAAAGCAACTCAAACAAATTGAAGAAAACCATACCATTAAACAAACCTCTGTTTTTCAGAATTAACTTCCCATTATTTAGTTGGGAAGATTGAACTCCCTTATCTTGATTCATTCACTGCGGTATGTAAACATTTTCAAATTGAAAGCTTTTAACATTTCAAACTCGTCCATTTGATTGTTATTGAGAGTAACGATAGGCCACCTTACAAATTTAACAAAGGAAAAAATTAATCATTTATATATGTAGTTTTGAGTTGGTCCGTCTCTGAATTTTAATCTGCTTAACTTAATCCCTGAAGTTTCAATCATTTAATAAAACTGCTCCCCACACCTTCCAAAAAACATCTTAACTATGTTGTAACAAGTCATGGAATGTAGAAACTAACGATTAAATAGGGAAAATTGAGATATTGAGTTGCGTTAGGTTGAACTTAAAGAACTATATGCTCTAAATGCCATCTGGATTAGTTTAATTGATTAGAGGTTTTTCTACCTGTTTCTCTCGAAAAGGAAATTATACACACTCTCGTCCATATGAGACGAGCAAAAGCTGTCTAGATTATTTCTTTTTGACTTGCTAAATTCTGAGAAGATGCTTTCTAAACATCAGATTATCTCATCAAAAAATTACCCATTGCCGCTCTTCACCTCCTTAAGCTTTCCAGAACAAAAATATTTGATTTTGCATGATATTAGAGTGCTCCAAACATAATGACGATAATTCAAGGACATGAAAAACCCAAGAGCTACTTGAATTCCCATCATTCCTAAGTCTGCGAAATGCGCTCGACCATTCATATTTGTGAAATTACCACAAAACTACCATATATAATCACGTTATGTTCTTGTTGAAAACATTGACGAGAATATCTGACAATTGCTCAGATGCAAAACTTGTTAAACTCGAAGAAAATACCTCAGCTTAGTTCTTGGTTTAGGTCACCCATTAGTAGTTAATAATGTGATGCCAAATTGTCAAAAACATCCATGAACTAATTTTTAGACAACAGAACAGCACAAATACAAGAGACTTCATGTTTGTTTCGTTCTGAATTAAATCATAATACTATCTTCAAATTACGGTTTCACAACATATCATGATATCCTGAGATTAGTTTGCAAGTCGCTAAGCTATAAAAGCCACGGGCATAGAATCAAAAGTGGGATCCAGCCGAAGAATTTCCTATATGTATTAAGAGACAACCGGCTCTTCAATATGATCAACACTTACATGCCTAGAATTATTTCTACAGCATACAGCAACATTCAATGATAAAATTCCGCGGTTCTGTAAAAGTGAGAAAACAAGTTAAAATATTTCATAGCATTGTGCTCAAGTCTTAACGAAGATATTTTGGAAGTTCATATGTATCTTAAAATCAAACATAGATTCAAGTTCCTCAAAATTGGTGTCATTCATTCTGTTTGTTTGTCTCTGTTCCTGTAAATAAGAATGTAGAAATGATAAAAAGAAAGTGTATATCCAAAAAAGAAATGATGCAAGGTAGAAATATTGCCATAAGATGAACGCAAGAAAACACTGAAAATCTTTGGTTATTATAGCCGAGTCTAAGACTATTGTATGGATTTGGAAATGGACTGCAAAGATTGAGGAAACAAGTTGCCATAGCAAAACATTTTTAAATAGAAAGCTTCGGTGAACTGCTGAACTTTTACATTTTCATACTTAAGACATCTCTGTTTGTTTGTTTCTCTTCTTAGCAGGCAACATTGATAGAATTTTTACAGTAAAGAGAGAGGTTAACATAACACAAGTCTAAAAGCATTGCCACGTTCTTGATGTCAGTATATGAGAGCTTCTACAGGCAAGCAGAGATCTAATTTGCAATTGATAACTTCAGAAAATAACAAGCATGCATGGAAAAGTTACCAAGCAATGATGTAAATTAACAGTTACCATTTTCTTGCTGTCTCAGTGCATTAGCAGGGTCTTATTAGACAATAACAAGCACAAACAGAAACATAAACATATGGGTCTTGGAGTATCATGCCTTAATGAAACTGCCCCATAGGACAAAACCATGGAATCAGTGGGTTGATGAAGAGAAAGAGCATGTTGATCTTGAAGGAGATGATAAGTAAGGCTTAGGTGGGACCTGCAAGGTCCCAACTCTGCCCTCAAGCATCTCCACCACTTTATTCATCACTGGACGATTTGAAGGGTTAGTTTGTATGCACCATGAGCTTGTTATAAACATCTGTCTTATCCTCTCTTGGTCAGTTTCATTTCTAATGCTCCTCAGTGCAAGGTCTTCATTGAATTCTAAACGCTTGTAAATCCAATGAGGAAAATATATTTCACTAGTATTGTTAACATTGACATTAACATTCCTTCTTCCTCCAATCATTTCTAAAACCATCATCCCAAAACTATAAACATCTGATTTGTGAGAGACGACACCAAAATTTCTAGAAATTACCTCAGGAGCAATATATCTGATAGTTCCTCTGGCACCCCACATGGATACAGCACTTTCATTTCTAGGACATATTTTTGCTAATCCAAAATCAGAGATCTTCGGGCAAAAGTTCTCATCCAATAAAATGTTGTGAGGTTTTATGTCAAAATGCAATATTCGAGCATTACATCCTCTGTGCAAATACTCTAGTCCTCGTGCAACACCCACTGCAATTTGATGCAATATTTCACAGCTCAATTGGAGGTTACCATTAAGGAGGTTGGCTTCATTTTCAAAGATGAACTTCTCTAATGATCCATTAGCCATAAACTCATAAACAAGTGCCTTCTTTGGTCCTTCAAAACAAAGTCCCAGAAGAGTGACAATGTTAACATGGGAAGTCTTGCTTATACTTGCTACCTCATTGAGGAATTCCTCCCCATTACTTTTTGTTTCATTCAAAACCTTCACAGCAACTAGACACTCATCATGTAACTTCCCTTTGAACACACTTCCATAGCCTCCTTGCCCTAATTTTTCTTGGAAACAATTGGTCATTTTCTTTATCTCTGAGTAGGTATATCTGTTTGTGGCAAGTGATTTGTGGCTTTTTAGAAAGGCCTCAAAATCTTGATGAGCTTGAGATTTGTTGTTCCAGAATATAGTGATTTTGTCAGAAAACATAGCCCTCTTAAAGAAGTAGACTATGGGAACAAAAACTCCCATTATTGCAACTGCAGAAACTGTGATCAATAGGAGGTGAGATTATCCTAAATTTTGTAGCCGTTAATGACTAACATAAATACTGCTTAACTATCACATTGTTTCCGTAAGGATTCTTTCTTCTTTCAACTATGTTTATCATATATAAAAAGCTTACAGATTAACATCTCTCTCACTCTCTTCATGTTAAATTCTAATTTCATGATCAGTTTTAGTATATTTTCGGTCATCCATCATCGTGAGAACAGTTATGAGACCTCGGGGCTGATGTTTTCAGTTGATGCGATAATAATAATAAATTAATGTTAATCAAGTACAATGTATCACCTGTAGCGGCTATAACCACTGACCTCCGTGATTCCTTGCCAACTGAAAAAGGAAATTATAGTTAACACTGGACACACGCGGAGAATACTTACAGACTTGAAATTTAGGATCCTAAAAGCTAGGGCCAAGGAGAAAAGGAATAAGCTAGGAATCAGGATGAACCCAATTAAAATCTTAACGTTGGTTATAATTTATATTTAATTGTGCACCGAAAGATCCAAACTTCGACCCCTTAATGACGATGTTTTGTTCATTTTCTTTTTCGATAAACTACTTGTCAAGGTTAAAAGGAAAAGACAAAGAAAGAAAAAGGAGAGATCTCAATTTTATATATAAAGGGAAAATATACTTGCAGGTCCTTATAGTTTGATCAGATTTTGAATTAGGTCCTTATAATTTAATTTTGTTTTTATTGAATCCTTGTAGTTAATTTTGTTAAATTTATAAGTCCTTCCGTCACTAATGTTGCAAACATCATTAACTCACAATGGCAGAGGTTGATCTGGTAGTGTGCTTCTCTCCCCTCTCCCAAGTTTATGTCTCTCTCTCTATCACCTATCTCTCTCATTTGTTAAAGCTAACCATGATGAGCTCGATTACATGTAGAAGGAGTGAAGAAGGACTGCTTCTTTGACTGATCCTACTCTTCATCAACATGGGCACGCTGCTTCTATGCTGTTATAAGTTCAATTACACCAAAACGAAGTATAGTGAGGATTGATGTTCAGTATTGTACCCATCGCAATTTTTTCGGTGAACTCTTATGGCCACTTTCATTAGCACTGCCATTGTGGGTTAGCAGTGTTTGCAACATTAGTGATGGAAGGACTTGTGAATTTAACAAAATTAACTATAAAAATTTAATAAAAAAAATATAAGGACCTAATTCAAAATCTGATGAAACTATAAATATATTTTTCCATATATAAATCACTTTTAAATACATCATCGAAATAAAAAAAATATTTTATTTAAAAAACTTAAAATTGAGTAAGCTTTTAATTTTTGTCTTTAACTAATGTTTTTATTTAAAAAACTTAAAACTGAGTAAGAGTTTTTAATTTTTGTCTTTAATTAGTTTTATCAACGTGGAAAAAATAAAAGCATTCTCTCCCACTTTTTTTTTTTTTAGGTTTTCTCTTCTTTTTCAATAAAAGGCATCTTTAGAAAACAGGTACTATTAAGGGAGTGTTTGGGGAATATCAGAAGTGTTTCTGAAAAATACTTTTATGCAAATCAAGATAATACCATAAAAATATTTTTAAAATCATGATTTTGATTCCATCTAAATATTCCCTAAATATCACAAAAGATTAATCACTTTGTATCCTTACAGAGAGCAAACCTCCAGAAGAACATCTGGCAAGCTGATCGCTATTGCGGCAAAAGCACCTGAAGCCGTTAGCATCGAAGTCGAAGCCGCACCTCCCTCCACTGCTCTGGCATGCGTCGCACCCTCTCACCGTCCAATTCCTTTGCTTTAACAAGAATCCTCTTCTCAAAGCCTCTCTTATCCCTCCTTCCACATTCTCCACCACCATCCTCATCGTCGACCCATCTCTGCAATTATCCTTCGCATACTTCAACTTCTTCTCCTCGTCATTCACCGCCATACCCAACACCCACCTCGTTCTGTTCCCTTCAAAGCAACCCAATACGTTTGCTTTCATCTCCTCCGCCAGCGACGGTAAGTCACAACCGAAGAACAGCAGCACCTCCTTCTGGTTCGGAGCCAAAGTAAACCTTATGCTGGTGGTGAGGTTGGTGGAGGGGGAGAAACAGTTCGTGGAATTGGAGAGTTGGAAGCTAGGGTTGGAGAAAATTTCATCGACGATGTAAAAAGTATTGGAGAGATTGAGCACTGGGAAGCCATTGGAAGCACAGACAAGGCCGAAATGAGGCAATCCACAGGAGGGATCTTGTTTACCTTTGATATGAAAGGGGAAGGTTATGTTTTGCCCATTTCCGCAGGTTTTGGGCTCGCAAGCTTGGAACCTTGGGTTCAAAGAACCCACAACATTTCCGAACAAGAACAGAAGGTTCAGAATGAACAAGATGGAAACACGGGGTGACATTTCTCTGTCAGATGATACTTCTTTTCCTTCGAACTTCAATGGCTACTTAGCTTGGTGGAAGATTTATCTGTGTTTCTGTGCTTAGTGAAGGACCGTTAGTTACCACCAGAAGATTAAGCGGGGACTAAGAATAGTGGAGGACTTCATTGCAGTGAATGTTGACTTTAAAATGAAAAGCGAAGACTGGTCAAACGTGTTAGGAGGGGCTCAAACTTTTGAAAACTACGGGTAACAAAATTTTTGACAAGGAAATTAAATTTTGTTTCAACTGGATTGTTTTCTTGGTCATGTTTGAAATACATATGCTGCGTGCTGCAAAAATAGCGTCGTAATTGCATGGAATGATTATCAAATTAAATATGGACGCATGAAAAAATAAATATTTAACCATGCAGAATTCCTCTTCCTTACCTCTTGTTTAATTTGCTCAAAATCTTCAGAGCAATGGGACATTTTAGTATTATGAGAACAAAAACTCCTACTGTATATATTATACCTGCATAAGATGTTAATAAGATTAGAAGAGATGGGATTACGCAAAACCCTGGGCATTAATGAGTGGCATAGATACTGATTAGCTATCCGATTATTTCCATAGAAGTTAGTGTGTTGTTGTCAGCTGGACAGTGGCCTCCCTTCTGGTAGTGACACTCGTCACAATCATCAGATAATTGCACTTCAGTATCCATTTCACCGTATAAGAATGATGATGAAAAATCTGTGGTATATGTCAGGTTCTTACAAGGAAGCTGAAGAATTGAGCAATCAGGTAAAGATTCTCCTGCTGATGAACGACATTTGTACGCAGTAATGATGATTTTCCATTCTTCTGCAGTATAATCGTTTTAAATGAAAAAGGATCATCACAACCATATATATATGTATGTATAGTGATAAATCCAGTGTTACAAAGCAAAGGGAAGTGGAGACTCCCAGATTGTCCACACTTGTCATGCTTCCTACATTTCCATACCCAGCAAGAAAACTCTAATTATGATTGAACTGTCCTCCCATTATAAATCTCCTACTTGAACTTCTTCATACACAGTTGACTTGGTAAATGGCTGGCGATTTAAAAGCTTTGTTTATATATACTAATTTGTCAAGTCACGCGCATTTGTTAAATCTTCATTTTGAATATTTTTGAAGAATATTTTGAGTATATTTTGAAGAGTTATCAATTACTTTTAAGTGATTTCTAAGAGTTAATTTGAGAAATCAATTTGGGGCATTAATTGGGGGATTTTAGTGTGAGTATCATAGCTTTAAATCAAAATAGAAATCGTTTAGTTTAAGATATAAATAAGTAATAAAAAGTGGTTCTGAAACAAAAGAAAAATATATAAGTTATTCGTATTTTATTTTGTTTCTTCCATTTATTTTTATGAATTCCTTTTCTTTGACCTTTAGCATAGGTGACGTCATTTTCTTTAGGTGAGGAGAATGAAGTTTTTGAATTTGGAAGAGGCCGAGGTGCACCGTTTGGAGAAAGAAAAATTTGAATTTGACTTTGGGAATTTAAAACGGAACGACAGCGTTTCTAGGACGCGGCGTTCCTGGGGAAAGGTAGCAGCGAAGGGTTGAGAGAAAGAGGGGGATTCATAGAGAGAGGCGCGACTGGATATTCTACCTCCGGCGGTGACCGACGGGTTCTGCAGGAGGAGAAGGCCGACACTGTTCATCGTAAGGAGACTGGACGTCATCTTCTCTTGTTCTTTGGGTTCGACTGGTTCAGTGAGCGAGAGAGGGAGGAGGCAGACATTGGGAGAGGCCGAATCTGGTTCATCGACCGTGATCTTCTTCTTCATTAGAGTTAGGAGTCGACTGGTTTTGATCAGAGGAGCACGAGCTGCGATAGGAGCTTTAAACAGTGTTTTGTTTCCAATATTTCTTTCTATTTCTATCATGATTTTGAATCTGGAATTATTGTTCCTGACATGATTATATTTAAAATCATGTGTAGCTTTTTTTTTTTTTTACCCATGAACTTATTAATGGATTGAGCTGTTTTTACTGAATTGAGAATGTTTAGTGGCAAATGTTGGTTACTTAATTATCAATCGTGAATTTGCAAGTTAAAGTTTTTCTTGACAAATGAGATTCTAATTAAGTTCTTAGATCAAGTAATATGGGATTGGATGATAATCTAATTTGTAATCAGGATAGAAATATACCTAATTGTCCTGTATAATTGTTGATGTGTGAGATCGAATTGTTTAGCCTCTTAAGTAATTATGTGAGAGATTACATAATTAATTTAAGAGAGGGTTATAAGTAGACCAACAGACACTTATAACTAATTATACTCTAGATTAACAAAATTAACATCAAAATAAAAAAAATGTTTAAAAAGCTAGTAAGGGATTAGTGACTCTAAATTGGCTTTTTGACATTTGCTTAAATTAATTTGATAAAACCTTGTTTTGTTTATTTTAATTTCTTTTCACTTAATTTTAATATTTGGTAGCATCACACGCGCATTTGTTAAGTCACACGAAGTTTTCCAATTCCCCTTTAAAA